ACTCTTAACTAGTAAAATTCCCTATCCTGTCCTTTCCCTCCATCTACATTGGCCAGTGGTTCTCAAGATACGGGGCAGAGTTTATATGTATAACTATTGCATAGGTCCTATGCAAGAACAATTAAAAGTGAGGGACCCAGAATGTTAGTTAAATTCACCATTAAAAGGCATTTCTTTTTCAAGTATCACAGTGTTTATTGATAGATACAAGTATATAAAATCAGGGCATGAACATGACTTGATAAATTAAGTAGACTTAATTTTAGTACTATAATAACAGGGACCAGTTCAAATTCTCACCATTTGTTTCACACCCACAAAAACCACCAAGGGCATTAACAATCTCTCAAAACTGATCAGCTTTGTGCAAGTAAACCATGTTTCTTTTAAAAAGACTTGTGCACTTGCCCAGGCTCAAGGACATTAAAATCTAGCACATAAAGCCCATTACTAGAGGAAGAAATACAGGCAATATACTTTGTAGTCCAGAGTTAACTTAAGCAGGGGTGTTCTCATTTTCGTTGAAAATAATATTGTTTAAATAAATGATTTTTGTGTTGTAGATTAATTCCTTTTAAACTCTTGGTATCAAACACTGTCCCTGAGCTTTTCAAGGCTGGTGCCACTACCACTTACGCCACAGTTCTGCCTCCTACTTTTTGGAGGTTAATTGGAGATTACTTTTTGGAGGTTAATTGGAGATTAAGATTCTCATGGCCTTTCTTGCCTGGACTGACTTTGAACTGTAACCCTCAGATCTCAGCCTCCTGAATAGGTAAGATTCCATTGGAGCCTTGGTTTCTCTTAGTTTGTCCTAGTGCGCTCAACTCTGTTTTCCTAGATCACAAAGATTGAAAGGCAAGTGAGGAAGGGCAATCTGGTTATTTTCTCTCTTTTAGATCTTCACTATTGCCTCACCTCATTCTTCTACTGATTTCAGTCTAAACTGTGTTTAGTTTAAAACAAACCCTGGCTTAGCAGCTGTCAACTTCGTTGCCAAGAAAATGTCAGATTTATGTATTTCTAAAGCATGGTAAGTTGTACCAATAATATTGGTATGGGTTTTTTCTTTTTTCTTTTGGTATATGTGGGGAAATTAGTAAAATTTGCACATGGATGATGTATGTTCATAAGACAAGAGTTAGGGGGCAATGATTCATATTTGTCCATACATTCTCATAGTAGTTTTCTGGTTGCAGCTAAGTTTGTTGACATTTACATTTTCAAATTCCTTGTCATTTAAAGTTAGTAACCTGGGGTAGGAAGAGTAGGGATAAACAAAGATAATAAAAGGGTGATTATGATTAAAGTAATTATATGTATGGATAGATATGTCATAAGGAAAATCCCTTCATACAGTTAATATAATATGATAAAATGTTAATCAACTGAAGGCTTTTAGTGTGTAGATGTTAATGTGTCACTTATAATAGCACTTGGAAATAGCACTCAGGACAAAGTTTAAAGTACTTGTTGCTGTACTTGAGTTTGTGACTTTAATTGTCTTTTATTTCATTATCTGGGGCAGGCGATTTTTGTTGTGTTTTAATAAGTTTTTAATATAAGATACTTATATGTGATGCTACCAATAAAACAGCTGAAAAGTGGTAGTTGCATGATTAGACACCAGTGCATGCTTTTGCTGTGCTTCCTTTTTGTAGATGTGTGATTCTGAAAATTGCAAATTCTTAGAAAATAGATCACAGTATACAACATTTGAATCTGTATAACCTAACTCACTTTAATAATTGGACACATAAATAAACACACACAAGACTGGACACCATAAAGACTGACACACACACATATACATATATATTTATATTTGTCAGTCCTAGGGCTTGAAGTCAGGGGCTGGGTGCTTTTCTTGAGCTTTTTTGTGCTCAAGGCTAGTGCTCTACCACTTGAGCCATAGTGCCAACTTCTGGCTCTTTCTGAGAGTTTATTGGAGATCAGAGTCTCATGGACTTCCTACCCATGGCTTTGAACTATAATCCTCAGATCTCAGCCTCCTTGGTAGCTAGGATTATAGGCGTGAGCCACCAGTCCCCAGTCATAAAAAATATTTTACTTTTTCTTTTAAATATAGTTTTATTGTTGTTATTAAGCTGGTGAATATAGAGGATTACCATTTCACAATTCAGGTAATGCATATATTTCTCTTTTGGATGTCACCTCTTCCTTCATTTTACCCCAGTTTCCTCCTCCTGTTCCCTGCCACAAATTGCATGATTCTTTTTTACATAGTGTGTATAGCATGACTACATCCTTCCTCTCTCCATTTCTGTTGGGCCTCTTTTGTCTATCCTAAAAAGACAAATCCCCTTTCAAAGCAAAAAGAAATACTGACAACAAAAAAAGAACCCCCCTCCCCATACTTTCATTTCCTGGACTTTGTTTTGATAAATAGTTTGTAGATGTCCAGAGGAATTGTGCCTTTGGGTTCCTCCCCTAAAATTATCCTCCTTTTGTCTGATTGTCTCCAGTACAATCCTGAAGATTGAAACCAGGGGCCTTGTGCATGCAGGCTAAGCATTTAAAAAAAAAAATCCCTCAGGCCATTACAAAGAAACTCAGTATGCAAATCAATTTTGCTGAGATTCTTATCCTTTAATTCAGATTTCCCCACATTCTCCACATTAAACACAAGTTCACTTTTAGCTTCTCTTTAAGCATGTTAGGTATATGCTTTTGGGGGCTGTTACTGGCCACTGAAGCCTAGGATTAGGTTATATTTCTGTTGTAAATGTGAAAATTTTCATTGTTTTTATCTTTCTTCATAATGAAAAAGCTTTTAATGTCTATTAGCTTTCCAAAGGAATCCATAAATGGAATAAAAGTACCACTAGAGAACAGCCAAGATATGTTTATCTCACAGAATCTTCCTTCCTTCCTTCCTTCCTTCCTTCCTTCCTTCCTTCCTTCCTTCTTTCCTTCCTTCCTTCCTTCCTTCCTTCCTTCCTTCCTTCCTTCCTTCCTTCCTTCCTTCCTTCCTTCCTTCCTTCCTTCCTTCCTTCCTTCCTTCCCTTTCTTCCTTTCTTTCTCTCTCTCCTTCCTTCCTTCCTTCCTTCCTTCCTTCCTTCCTTCCTTCCTTCCTTCCTTCCTTCCTTCCTTCCTTCCTTCCTTCCTTCCTTCCTTCCTTCCTTCCTTCCTTCCTTCCTTCCTTCCTTTCTCTCTCTCTTTCTCTTTCTCTCTTCTTTCTTTCGGTCCAGTCGTGGGGCCTGAACTCTGGGCCTGGGCGCTGTCCCTCAGCTCTTCAGCTCAAGGCTAGCACTCTACCACTTGAGCCACAGCGCCACTTCTGGCTTTTTTCTTTTTGCTTATGTGGTGCTGAGGAATCGAACCCAGGGCCTCAGGCATGCAAGGCAAGCGCTCCACCACTGAGCCACCTTCCCAGCCCCATCTCACAGAATTTTTACATCTAAAAAATCTCCTAATTATATGTAGTTAGGTCGATCTAGATATCTTCTGTGTCTTTCTATGCAAAAGGCATATTATAAAATCAATACTTCATAGGTCATTTTAGATAAAATGTTCTGAGATGTAGATTATAAAAATCAAGTATTTTGTTTGAGAACTAAAACAAAGCCTACAAGCAAATATTTCACTATAAGGAGAACTGATGGATTTAGTTTATGTAGTGCACAAAGTAGTTTTTCATAATTAGTATGTGCTCGTGAAATTTTTCTGTTAATGGTCAAACAACAGCCTCTTTTGGCCTCTTGGAAACAGTGGTAAAAATTACTGGTATAGTCAGGCTCTTATAATCTTCTCTTAGGAGTTGGTGTGGGGAGGAGTTTTCACATCTATATTCTAATCACTTTAGAAGATGCTAAAAATGAGATTACTAAGGGAAGATTGAAATACAGAATTGATCACTCTTGATACTGATTAGTCTTATTCTAAGAGTAAATTAAGATGTTAATTAATGAAGATAAAATCGTGATTAAGAAGACATTTAAAAGGCTTAGACTATTATAAACAGTGTACTACTTGTAAGTAAATAATTTCTTTTATTTCTATGTTGTATATTTAAATATATACATAATTTAGTAACATTTTAATTATAAAGAAATAGCATGTGTGCCAAAACTTTTTGCCTGGTAAGAGTACTCTGCTGATTTTTGGATAGTAAGCAGCCCTCTATAGTCTTAGTGCGAAATATAAAAGTAAAATAAATGATGTTTATAACAAGTAGCTCTGAGTTAATTGGAAGCTAGTAATAACCAGTTTTTGTTTGGACTGAATCATATTGTCTATAGAACACTTCGCCTTGTAAGTGCTGGGAAAGATCTACCAGTTCCCCATGCCATAAAACCAGTGTATCTCATGCCAAGACACAGAGCTCTCACTCCCTTTTCTTGTCTTGAATCACTAGAGGCTGGTGGTATATTGTTGATAATTTCAGTGTGGGTGCGTTATGTTTAGTGAATGTTACTTTTAACGTGGCTTAACTACTCAACACTGTATTAAGGAGCACTAATATTAGCATGGACTGGAGGTAGCCAAGAGGACACTTCTTTCTGTAGTTAGCATTTTAGTGTTTACTCATTCACCTCTTTGAGGTAGGAGGCAAGCTATCCACACATCATGGGCTCTGGCTGGATGTTACCATAACTCTGTCACTCTCACTAAAGTTGATCTCTATTCTAGTATAGATGGAACCTACACTTTGGTGTGCAGGTACCTTGAGTACCCGCTTCCTGATATGCTGTGTGAATGATAGCTTTTTCATTGCACAAAAGGTTCATGGACAGTGTGCAATTCCTCTCTTTGAGTTGACTTGAGTTCACTGTTAACCTCTTAGGACTTTTCTAAAGCTTTGTCATTTATGAGGAACTCAAGTTGCAGCTGTTTATGATAGCAATTACTTTGGGGAGATTGTCACTGGTGAGGCCATTGAAGTCTAAATAGTGTTTCTAACATAAAGTTTGATATAGAAAATCTTAAACTGTATCTGTTTTAGGGAACACTGAATACTTTACTTTCCTTTTTCTCAGCATCAGCAACAGCAACTTGTGATTGGCGGTACCGGATATTTCACTTGCACATCCGCACATCAATGCACTGCCAATGGTAAGACCCCTCTGACTCCCTTGCCCAGTGTTTCATAGGTCTGCTTATTATTCTCGATTTAGACAGGCTTTTGAGAGTTCTGAAGTTTTCTCAACAGCTTGATAAAAATTTCTAAACTAAGTACCTTTGAAAAATATGTAATTTAATTGAAATGAATCCCAGATTTTAGTCAAAGAAACCTCTACTTTGAGGAGTTCTGCTTTCTGCAGTGTTAAGAAAACTAACTGGTTGTCAGGATGAAACGTATTATAGATGTGGCCTTGAGTTGTGTCAAATTAAGTCCATTTTGTGAATAGATGTTTCTTGTTAAAATGTTGAATAGTAATAATGGCCTTTTTGTTGTTGTCTATCATTTCAGTGAATTTGAGGGGGGGGCATTTTATTTAAGCTATGTATAATGACTAGCTTAAGAGCCATTTTACCTATTTAGAAGAAGTTTCTGGATTCCCTTCTTGTGGATAGGGACCATATGATTCAATAATAACAACTGGATGTGGAGCAGCTGAGATTGTTTTATTTCCTGAATATGCTAGAAGGCTTTGACATTTACCAGTCTCAGATAACTTGTCAAAAGTAGGTGATAGAATTGGATTAAAAATTTCAATGTGTTTTTCTAGTTGTAGATTATGTGATCTTGCTACTTGACTAGAATTCAGCATGGTTTTCTCTTACATAATTCCTTACCAAAATGGTATTGCTATGTTTTGGGAATATCAATAAATAGGAGAATGATTGCCTTTTCCTTTTTCTCCAGTGTTAGGAACTGAATCTAGGACCTAATCATGCATTCAAATACTGAGCTACAACCCAGCCCAAATACTTTTAATTACTTACACAGAAAAATCTTCTATTTAAGGGGCTGAGAAGGTGGCTCAGTGGTAGAGCGCTTGCCTTACATGCATGAGACCCTGGGTTCGATTCCTCAGCACCACATAAGCAAAAAGAAAAAAGCCGGAAGTGGTGCTGTGGCTCAAGTGGTAGAGCACTAGCCTTGAGCTGAAGAGCTAAAGGACAGCGCCCAAGCCCAGAGTTCAGGCCCCATGACCGGCCCCCCCCCCCCCCAAAAAAAAAAAAAAAAAAAAAAAACGAAAAACAAAAACACAACTATTTAAAAATATTTTATGCTGGGTGCTGGAGGCTCAGGCCTGTAATCCTAGCTGCTCAGGAGACAGATCTGAAAATGCCAGTTCAGAGCCATCCTGGGCAGGAAAGTTCATGAGATTCTTATCTCCAGTTAACCACCAGAAAACCAAAAGTGGAGTTATGGCTTAAAGTGTTATAGTGCTAGTCTTGAGCAAAAGAGCCTAAGGAGAGCACCCAGGCCCTGAGTTCAAGTCCCATAACTGACCAAAAAATACTTTTTTATATATGCATTGCTCAAATGTTATTTTTACATAAATTTTATTTTAATTAAATAAATTAATACATTTGATTTAATAATCAGAGCTGTAAACTATATATATATATATATATGGTTTACATAGATTAGTAAGAAAGGATTTATTTATTTAAAGAATAAATTAAGAATAAAAATGAGTCAGAATAAGATTGAAAATATTTCTAGCAGTATTTTTTTGTGAAGTACTGGATTTTGAACTCTGAGCCCCTCTGTGTGCTAACTAGATAAGTGCTCTACACTTGAGCTATGGCCACAGCTCATAGTGATTATTATTTTATTTATTTATTTTTGTGTGTGTGTTTTTGTGCCAGTACTGGCATTTGTATGGTTCAAGTCTGGCGCTCTAGACCACTAGTTCACTAGTGCCACAGCTCTACTTCTGCCTTTTTGCTGCTTAATCGGAGATACTAGAGTCTCAGGGACTTTCCTGCCCTGGTTGTCTTCAAACTGTAATCTAAGATCTCAGCCTGCTGAATAGCTGAGATTACAAGAATGAGCCATCACTGCCCTACTAGTGATTTTTTTTTTTCTTTTCTTTTTGTATGTATTAGGCATGATTGATATCAATGTGGAAAAAAATACTAAGTAAATCAGGTATAAATGAGCTAGTTGTTTCAGTATTTTCCCTTTGTAATCTAGCTAAGACAATTTGTTTTTAAGATAAACTTTTATGTTAACAAAGGATTTCTTTTCTCTCAATCATTTTCTGAATTCTTGGGGTGGGGGGTAGATCTTTTTCTTTTTTCCTCCCCATCTTTTCCCCCTTCTTCATCTTCCTCAAGAGTGGCTAAATTTCAGGTAACTTTCTTTTCCTGCCTTTCACATATGACTTGATTTTTCATTGACTTACAAAGTACTCGCTAAGTTTTTCACATTGCTTTTATGACTCATTAACTCTAATTCAATCTGCTATTTTCCCAGGAGCATTTGAAATTTTCACAGGCTCCTGCATTTACTGTATGAGATATCAGCTTTGCATTCTTCATTTGTGGTCCACATTTGAAACCTGTTATTTTTCTTGTTTGGTTGTGATGTCTTTCTCCTGATGATCAGTGTTGATCTACCTGCCTGATGATGTTCTGCATCCACCTGTGGAAAGCCATGTCTGTTCTTCAGTGAACTGTTTGTACATTGTCTCATTTGTTCTGTTCTTCAAACAGCTCAGAAGACTAGTTTTGATTAGATCATCTTACTTATATTTGACAATTTTGTTGAAAAATTGTTGAAGTCATTTTTATCTCATGATCAGAGAAATTGAAGCTCTTTTTTTTTTTTGGTCCGGTCATGAGGCCTGAACTCTGGGCCTGAGCACTGTCCCTCAGCTCTTCAGCTCAAGGCTAGCGCTCTACCACTTGATCCACAGCACCACTTTCGGCTTTTTTCTTTTTGCTTATGTGGTGCTGAGGAATCGAACCCAGGGCCTCAGGCATGCAAGGCAAGCACTCCACCACTGAGCCAACTTCCCAGCCCCTTCTTTTTCTTTTTTTCCCTCCCTTTTCCTTTTTTTTCTGGTCATGGGGCTTGAACTCAGGTCCTGGGCTCTGTCCCCGAGCCTTTCTGTGCTCAAGTCACAGAACTCTACCACTTGAGCCACAGCACCACTTCTGGCTTTTTTTTTTTTTTTTTTTGTGAACACTTCAGTATTAATTATGTTCACATTGATGTTTAACAGATCCTCTGGTATTTGTTATTGTTGTTGCTAGTGGGGCTTGAACTTTGGGTCTGGGTGCTGTTTCTGAGCTCTTCAGCTCAAGGTTAGCACTCTACTACTTGAGCCACAGCACCATTTCTGGTTTTCTGGTGGTTAATTGGAGGTAAGAGTCTCATGGACTTTCCTGTTGGGCTGGCTTTGAACTGTGGTCCTCAGATCTCAGCCCCCTCAGTAGCTAAGCTAGAATTAAAGGCATGAGCCACCAGCACCCGGCTGGAATTTTTTTCTTTTTAATATTTTTTTTTATTGAGATTAAGTGATTACACAAATTTCACAGTATTGTAAGATAGTGATACTTAGTCACAAACACATTTTAACCATCACAAAGCCAATTGTAATTATCATGGTCTGAAATGTTTGTGAATTCTATGAGCTTTGACAGTTCAAGTATTTCTTCCATATTGGGTGATATGTACATTTTTTCCTTTTGCTTACTGCAAGCTGTTCCCTCTCTCCTTCTCATTGCTGCCTTTGATTTGCTTAGTTGGTATTCAATATCCAGTGCAGCTGATGGGCCCCTCTGCTGTATATTTTCCTCTGCTTCCCTCTGATTCTGTGTCCTCCTCCTAGCTTCCCTCAGATGTGCCTCTGTGTGTGTGTGTGTGTGTGTGTGTGTGTGTGTGTGTTCGAGAACATGGAGTTATTTAGAAATGATAGGAAAAATTGAGTGGAGGTCCTTTGTTTCTCAAGTCCTGTTTACTTTGTCATATCTCCTTGCATTTTGGATTTAATATCCACATATCAGAGAGACCATGTGCCATTTGTCTCTGCTCTTGGTTTACCTTGTCAGAATGAGTTTTTCTAATTCTATCCACTTCCCTGTAAATGCCATTATTTTGTCCTTTCTAATGGCTACATAATATTCCATTGTATATAGGTACCACAACTTTTGGATCCATTCATCTGTAGTGGGGCATCTGGGTTGTTTCCCTGTCTTGGCTATTGTGAACAGTGCAGCAATGAACATGGAGGTGCATGTGTCCTTGTATCCTGGTTCCTGTTGCTCAGGGTAGATGCCTAAGAGTGTATGGCTGGGTCATAGGGGAGGTCTCTAGTTAGCTCTCTGAGGTACCTCCAGACTGCTTTCCAAAGAGGTTGTATAAGTGTACATTCCCACTAGCAGTGTAATAGGGTTCCTCTTTCTCTACATTCCTGTCAGCATTTGTTGTTGGCTGAATTTAGGATTTGGGCTATTCTGACTGGGGTGGTATGTCAGGGTTGTTATTATTTGCATTTCCTTTACAACCAAGGATGGTGAACAATTGCTCATGTGTTTCTTTGCCATTTTTATCTTTTCTTCTGAGAAGTCTTTCTTTAGTTCCCTTGCCTATCTAACGATTGGTTTGTTAGGTTTGGGAGTGATGAGTTCTTGAGTTCCCTGTATATAATGGATATAGACCTTGTCTGATATATTCTTGGTAAATATTTTTTCCCAATTAGTTGGCTATCTTTCTAATTAGGTGGCTATGTCGTTAGTTGGGTAGAAACTTTTTATTTTAAGGTAGTCCCATTTGTCAAGTCTCTCTCCAATTTGTTGTGACCCTGGGACTCAGTTCAGGAAGTTCCTGCCTGTGCCTGTAAGTTCAAGTGCCTCTCCCACTCTGTTCTTCAGTAGTTTCAGGTTTAATGTTAAGGGCTTTAATCCATTTTTGAGTTGATGTTAGTGTGTGGTGACAGGCTAGGGTCCACTTCAGTTTTCTGCAGGTGGCTGCCCAGTTTTCCCAGCATTAGTAGTTGAAGAGGCTATGCTTCTTCCACTGTATGTCTTTGGCTCCTTTGTCAAATATCAGCTGACTTATAGGTATGTGCTACTGTATGTCTTTGGCTCCTTCGTCAAATATCAGCTGACTTAGAGGTATGTGATTTTATTTCTGGGTCTTCCAATCTGTT